TTGCAGTGCATGTTAGAGTAACATTCGACCCTTTTTCCACAAGGTAAGGCTGAGGATTTTCTGAATGCAAATTGTCGTCATGTATAATGGAAGAGACACGCACTTCTAGAGAACCTTGCATACATGTAAAATAATAATTTAAAAAATAATCACTTCTTTTATGTACTCTCTACTTTTGCATTTAGAAAGCATGTGTGTCCTGAAAGGCCAAATGAATGAATTACTCACTTCAATTATTTCAATGGATTATTTTCTAATTGCGGGCGACAAAAGGAAACCGCCACCTATTCTTGGTCAGCGGCACTTTTTTAACTGTATAGGCGGATTTTTTCTCGATCTCTTTACATTCCTGTGTTGTACCGACTAATATGCATAGTATGAATGATATGTGGTCTCGAAGATCCTGGTGTTGAGTTCAAAGGCCCTTCTGATGTCACAGTAATCACGTGAATGCACATGCAAGTGATGCAACAATCATTATTACACATTCGATTCGCAAGCACAGGTAATTCAAGTACAAAAGTACTGTACTAAATGGGAGACTTTTCGACTCGCCTTGCGGGCCTGGAATCTATTTACCCAGGAAGATAAAAGTAGAGCCTGATCTCGACTTACTGCGGGACAAGTTTTCGGTGAAATACGAGTGCTACCAAAGTCTAGAAATCGATGTAAATTATATTAAAAGTTTATTCACATTTCACTGCAGTGCATGGTTTTTCAGGGTGTTTATATTTTTATACGTTTTTTTCAAGCATGTTACGTCGCCAGTTATCCGAAAGCTTTAATAAGCTTTAAACTCTAATGGTAATTTAAGCTGTTTCATTATTTTGTAACGCATATTCAACGGCCTTTGGTCATTGAACACGGATGAATATTCGATTGAAAAACAAGACTTCGTGCACGACTGCATACCCGCATTACTTGTGTCACGCATTACTGTTTCAATGTATCTTTGCCAGCGAACAAGATACAAACGTCTTTCCTCGCTAATCGCTCCAGAAATATTTCAGGCTAATTATATCTATATTGTAGTTAATTTTTCATCTCAGGTAATTTTTATTTTTCTTTTGTTTCAAACTACAAGATCTATATAATCAACTGCAAATGAAATCGTTGAATTAAATAATTATATGAGTCTTGTTTACTCTGTCGTTCAATCCAGTTTTCATGACCCGCAGGGAAAGGCATTCACCTACATATCAAAGCGGTTTCGCCCGCACTTCCTCGCCAATGGCTACTGCTATTTTGATAGAATTTATCATCCTAGATGTGCTTGTTGCTTCAAAAGTCGATCGGCATTCGTTTTGGTAACCGAGCGTTCTCCTCGAATCCCTGAGGCGCGGGGGATAAGCGCGCAGTGTTGGTCGTAAAAAATTCTACGATGGTTACTAGGAGATTTGGGCTACTGGCTAATCGTAGAGCCGAATAGACGATAGCAATTGTTTTTCAAATTCGTGTTTGGCTGGTAAAATGATCCAGATCTGAGTGCGAGATTAACGGTTCCCATAACGTTTACCGCTTGCATGAAACGCAAAATCATCAACTGAACCAGAAAAGCAGCAGGTCTACTCGCAGAATAGAAGAATTTTGTTTTTATTCAGTAAAAGCCGATAAAAGAGATTTTTAATTCTAATTATTAAAATCCCTGCGGAGGAATTTTCCACTAAGGAAATTTACACACATGCATGGCGGGTGGGATTACTTCTAGTCAAGAGAGGATAAAGGGGACAGAGAAGGCATCCTCCGTACACACCCTATTCGATAGGTAATTCGTCTCGAGTTATTTTTAAGACCACAGATCCCAAGGGGGATTAGACAACAGCCAATCACATTGCGCGAATGTGTTCCGCGTGGATGAGCCACGCTCACAGCCACGCGTGCTTCACGAATTGAGGCAGAAAAAAAATGGTGGAAGACGCGGAGAGCGATATTGCTCTACGTTTTGTCGACGAAAACGACTACAGAGAGATTTCTGCTAAAGCTGTGTCGGCGAAACGGAAATTAAAAAAGAATCGCCCTTCCTCTCTTGTATAGAGCTAACAGTACAGCAGGGAAATCCTTAACACACTGAATATTCTCTCAGGATCATTTATAATTTACAGTTCGAAGAGAGCAATTTCTGGTTTGATATTTATTCTTTTATTAGTCTTTTATTATTCAACAAAAATAACACTTGGCGTCCTACTTGCTTTATTGTACAAACGACCGGTTTCGATAGACCGGCGAAATTTCTGATTTTATTAAAGCACTGAGGTTACGATAACTTCGAGTTAAACTGATTTCACGGGTTGTCAAAGAGTCCAGCGATTCCCTTTTCGCAGGTGAGCGCCGACTCATTTCGCTTCAATATTCAGGAATGCTCTCGATCTCTTTACGTTTTCATTGCCTTTCGCCCGACATGTTTTGCACGGCGTTTAGTCATGCGGAACCTCCCCGAAACATCCACGCAGCGCGCGAGGTAACTTTACCCCGATTCTAAAAATAACTCGAGACGAATTACCTATGGAATAGGGTGTGTATGGGGGATGCCTTCTCTGTCCCCTTTATCCTCTCTTGTTCTAGTTTAATATCAAAGCTTGACATTCAATGTTTTCATGGCTAGGATATATAGAACAAATAATGATTTGTCCAAACACATCAAAGCCAAATATTCTTTACGGATTTATTTCCAGCTGTCTCGTTTGTGCTTTTTTTGGTATGATTAATAAAATTTTACCTGTTCTTTCCTGGACTGCAAAAGCAGTCTCGCATAGGATTGAAGTCTAAGAAATATTGTCCTAGAGGCAAAATAATGTTTTCCCAGACTTTGCGTTGTTACGATATGATGTGATTTTGAAGGCGCGTGACCCAGTTGTCACGCAGAATGTAATCCGTGAGACCCACAGTAGCCTGTTCCGGGCATCCAGACAGTGGAGGGCGGTGCGAATTAAGAGAGCGGAAAAAATACATCTGTTCGCGTTGTCCCCTCGATCTAAACGCCTTGAACAGGCTAGACTACCAGGAGCGGGCGCCCTTTGCTTCCTTATAAGGAGATGGGCATAGATTAACTTACCACCATTTGGGACTTCGGGGCACTTCTGGCCGGTGCTTGTCTTCGATAAGCAACACATAAAAAGCCAAAGCATTTCATAACTTCGCAGCGGCAAATGGAAGCTGGCCATTATAAGTCATCAAAAGGTCTAGTAGAAAAAGGAAAAAAAAAAAACAAAGGAGGATAAAATCAGAAAGGCCCCAATTATTGGCACTGGCTGTCTTTTCGAAAAGGAAGTGTAAATACCAGTATATATTAAGAAAATGTTTTCCTGGTAGTCGGGTCACTCGCGTATCCGAGCCAACGTTTCCTAAATTTCCTTACAAAATTTGGCGAACCGTCTACACGAGATCGAAACAAAAAGTTTGCTCGGCACCGGGTAAACTCTGTCAAAGCTAGACAATCAAAGCAAGTGCTAGAGTTGTTCGCTGGGGAAATGGAGTCAACTTTTTTCTCATATAAACGCTAGCTAAACAACTAACCAGCGCCTTTGGAAAATGAATGTTAAATCTCCAAAATGCGAACAATGTGATGCTCCTTGTGAAACTATTAGCCATATTTTTTGCGAGTGTCCTGAGGTAAAACATTTTTGGAAAATATCATAGATTCGTGGAATCGTAAAGGTTCTGAAAACATAAATCCCAATCCAACGGAAGTTCTTTATGGATACAAACCTGAATCTAACAGCTTTCATACTTTTAACCAATATCTCTTAATTGCTAGATATTACGTCTACTTAGCTAGAAACAAGTTTGAGACCACAGAGCTGGAAGTTTTCATTGTTCTCCTGGAAATTAAAATCCAGTGCGAAAGAGAAATTGCAATAACAAACGGAAATCTTAACAAATACAGAACTAAGTGGACCACGCTGTGCATTTCTGATTAGTGTTGAATTTATAGTAATTTAGCAAACATTTTTCTATTTGTTCTGCTTGTTGTCGTTAACCTGTTGAACCTTCGTATTTCGCTTTATTTTGCTTGTTTGTTTATTTATTTATTTTTACTGTTTCGCCTCTTTTTTATTTGCCGCCCTGTTATTGTAAAGTTTATTGTGATGTTATGTGATGAATAATGATAAATGATGTTTAATAAATAAATTATTTAAAAAAATAAAAAATAAAATAAATAAAATAAACGCTAGCTAAAGTTGACTCGGTTGGGAGTCAGGGTGACCCTCTTTCCCAACACAACTTAAGGTGTTTCGGTACAGTTTTTCGGAGACCATACCGATATGTTTCAATCGCCTTAAAAGTGATTTTATCCTTTCCGATCGCTTTAAAATTTTAACCACTGACTGACTTTGGATTGAGGTTTATTAAAATGTAGATTTAAGTAAAATTTATATCACTATGACAACAATAACAAAAAAACATTGAAATCGATAACGTCGTCATTCCTTGATGATGACGTTTATCGGCGAAAGCTTGCATTTCAATTTTATTTTTGAAACAGCAGTTTAAGGCCTCATTAGCACTTTTTAAAATTTTTTTTTGGTGTTTTACACAAACGATTTGCATTAATATCTAACTGATTTTTGTTAAAACGAGTTACAACACAACCTCAATAACCACAAGCTCCACAACCAATACAAACAACACACCCTTCACAACCACCACAACCAACGCAAGCACAAGAACCCTGACAACCTCCAGAACCACTAGAATCATCAACACAACAAACAAAAGAACGACTGCCAAAACAACCAACACACAAACCAAACCCACACAATTAACAGAACCACTATAAATCAACACACCACCATAGCCAATTCATCCACTTCAACCAACACAACCACCACAAACAGCACAGCCACGATCACAACATTCAGCAACCATGACAACACTCAGCACAACCCTCACAACCGCCACAACAACCACAACTCCCACGACCTCCACAAAAAAGACAACCAACACAACCTTCACAACCACCATCACAACTCTCACAACCACCCCAACCACAACAACATTCACAGCCTCCACAACCAAACACAACCCTCACAACCACTACAATTCTCATAGCCTCCAACAGAACCAACACAACTCCCTTAACCATCACAAACCTTACAAACTCCACAACCAACATAACCACTACAAAGCACAAATTCACAACTAGTACAACCCACACAACCAGCACAACTCCCACAAACAGCACAATTTCCACAACCACCACAACTATCACAATCAGCACAACTCCCGCAACCAGCACAACTTCAACAACCAAAACACAACAAACCAGCACAACCACAGCAGCCCTCAGAACCAACACATCCGATACAAACCTCACAACCATCACAACCCGGCAACACAACCCTCACAACTAAGCTTAAAAAACAAGAATCGGTGAAATATCCATATTCAAACTACCCCACTGAAAAGCCAAGCAAGGCAGAGAAGAGGCAGAAGTGACTGAAATTCACTGACATTATGCCAGAGGAGTCAGTTTCTTAGCAACAAAATCAAGATTTAAAGTTCGACGCTCTTTCGAAGGAAATAACGCAGCTGAAAGAAAAACATTCCACGCAACATCAGTGCCATTATTGACATTGTTAATGTCATACAAAACAACCGTCGGACCAAACATTTTTCCCTTGCGGGATCTTTTTAGACTTAAAAAAGGCCTTTAATACCGTCGACCATTTGATCTTACTTCAAAAACTTGACCATCATGGCATCAGAGGAACTATCAATGACTGGTTTGCCTCGTACCTTCTTGGTCGTTCACAAGTAACTGAAGTAGGTTTTAACTTATCTACCGAATGTATGACCTCATGTGGTGTCCCACAGGAGTCTGTACTTGCTCCTCTGTTATTCTTAATCTATATTAACGATATTCATAACTCTTCAGCGAAGTTCTCATTCTTTCTCTTTAATGATGACAAGAACTTGCTGTATGCTGACACTAATTTAATGTCTCTTGAAAAAACCTGCTTAAAGTCTCCGACTGGCTTAATGCAAATAGGTTAACGCTCAATGCTAAAAAGTCAAACTATGTTATCTTCGTCCATATCAACGTAAGTTGAACTACTCCGTTAATTACGTAAAGATTGACATGAGTGAGTGGAAAGATCATGTTAAATATCTTGGTGTCCTATTGGAGAGCAATTTAAGCTGGAAATCTGGTATTGATAATGTTGTATTAAAAGTAAGCAGAACTGTTGGTGTTGTTGCCCGTCTTAGGCACTTCGTCCCACGTACTACCCTTTTAAATATTTATCAATCTTTGATATTGCCTTATTACACATTCGGTTTGGCGGCTTGGAGTCAGCCTGCCAAAACCCATTTACAAAAAATTCTACTGCTACTAAAACGAGTCCTCCGTTTGATGTATTTTTCTGAACCCAGAGCAAATGCAGTGTAACTATTTATTTCCTCAAACATTAATGCCCGTGGACACAAAGCAATTAACTGTCCAACTCTAGCAAGAAAGTGCTTCTTATGTGGCAAGCAAGGGCACGAAGCTAGAAACTGTCGCTCAAACAAGCAGAAGTCAGGAGGACAAAATAAAGATGGTAACCGTGTGCAACGTGGTCAAGTTAGTGCTGGCTCTTTGGTTAAGCCACCCGATGTTAACGCTACTCCAGAGGAAGTCAAGTCGTGTATTGAAAATGATCAGCTTCTGTTACCCTGTGGCAAGAAAGTCCCGTTGCTGAGCAATGCTTGTGTTGAACCCTTAACTGGAGTAAGAAGTAAGATGCCTGTTGTAAAGGGTAGAGTTGGAGAGAAGACTGTTGATGTTTTAAGAGATACTGGTTGCAGCGGAGTAGTATTCAAGAGGGATCTTGTCGGCGAGGATCAGTTCACCGAGACTTTAACGTTATGTTGCTTATTGACAACACTGCAAGGAAGGTGCCCATAACAAGAATTTATGTCGATACGCCTTATCTTAAGAGCCACGTAGAAGCGCAGTGCCTTTCAGATCCTATCTACGACCTTATTATTGGCAACGTGCCTGATGCTTGGGACGCACAAAATCCAGATCCCAGTTGGCAAGAGGCCTGTGCCATGACTAAAAGAAGTCAAGCTAAGAAAAAGGATGAACGCACAGCCTTGAAAGTACCAAGTAGCCGTGAGAGCCCTATCGTGGATAGAGAGAAGCTCAAGCAGATGCAGCGTGAAGATGAGAGTCTGCGCAAGTACTGGGATCGAGACGATGTGCTAGTAAAGGGTCAGGCGGAAATTTCACTTGAAGAAAAATGTGGAGTACTGTACCGTCTGTACAAGCACCCTTATGTGAATGGTGGTAAACCGCTTAAACAAGTCATGGTACCTGAAAAGTTGAGGCGCCCCATAATGGAAGTAGCTCACGGATCGATCATGGGCGGTCACATGGGCATCAAGAAAACAACAGACAAGATCCAGAGTGCGTTTTATTGGTCTGGAATTCATGGTGACGTGACTCGATTTTGCAAGTCCTGCGACGTTTGTCAGAAGACCGTAAATAAGGGATCAGTGCCGAAGGTACCGCTAGAGAAGATGCCGCTGATTGACAAGCCCTTTAAGAGAGTAGCTATAGATCTTGTTGGTCCTATCAGTCCCCCGAGTGAAGAAGGACACAGATACATATTGACGCTTGTAGATTTTTCGACTCGCTACCCCGAGGCTGTACCACTAAAGAAGATTGATACAGAGACAGTAGCAGAAGCATTGGTGGATATTTTCAGTCGTCTAGGAGTACCGGAAGAGATTTTGAGTGATCTGGGCACACAGTTTGTTTCTGATTGTATGAGAGAAGTTACTCGACTATTAAGCATTAAGCAGCTTACGACCACGCCCTATTACCCGATGTGTAATGGTTTGACGGAGAAGTTTAACGGAACTATGAAGTCTATGCCGAAGAGACTGTGTAGCGAGCAGCCAAGACAGTGGCATCGCTACATAAATCCGCTGTTGTTCGCTTATCGTGAAGTCCCTCAAGAGTCCACTGGTTTTTCGCCGTTTGAGTTGTTATATGGTAGAGCTGTGAGAGGACCAATGGCTATACTCAAACAGCTGTGGACGAAAGAAGTCGAGGAACCTGAAGTAAAGAACAGTTACCAGTATGTTTTTGAGTTGCGAGAAAAGTTAGAAGATACCCTCAAACTCGCTCGTTGTGAATTGGAGAAAGCTCAGCCGAAGGGAAAGCACTAATACGATCGCAAGTCCAAAGTGAGGAAGTTTCAGCCGACCACAACAAGTTACTTATGCAGTGGAAAGGTCCCTTTGAAGTCAGTTGAGTGGTAGGTCTCAATGACTGCAAGGTGAAAGTTAAAGGCAAGGAGAAAGTTTACCACGCTATCCTCCTCAAAAAGTATTTTGAGCGAGAGGAGACTACAGTCGAAGGAGCAGTAGCTGTTGGAGCAGGCGCTACGAGTATAGAGGATGCTGTCGACTGTGAAGCTAACGTTGATGAAGCAGAGGAAGAAGAGGTTGATTTCCCAGAGCTTGGTGGCTATGTAGCCAAGGGATCAATTCAGGATGTTGCAACTGGACCGAATCTTACGGACGAGCAACGAACTGAATTTACAGATCTGGCTAAACAGTTCACGGATTTGTTCACTGAAGCACCAGGTACCACCGATCTCGTTCAGCATCATATTAAACTCACCTCAGACGAGCTAGTTAGATCAAGACCTTACCCAGTTCCTTACAGCATGAGGGAGTCGTTGAAGAAAGATATCGCCGATATGATCAAAATGGGAGTAACCTGAGAGACAATGGACTACCCCTGTTGTATATTAGCTTACAATTTTCCTATTGTATTGGAAATTTAGGAAATTTCTTCTGAAAGGGGGTTATGTTACGAAAATTGTATTGGGTGACTAGCGTGACTTTCTAGAAGGTTGGCGAGAGTTCATAGCTTGTTTATTTTAGGTTCTTATGTAAGCGTTTCTAAAAGCGGTATATTTTGTAATCTTTCTATAATTAGACTATTTGGAAAGTTCTAGAACTTTATTGTAAAAGTATATAAGTAGGCGAGTTCGAGTTAAGTTTTAACTAGTTTTCACAAGCGAAGAGAGTTTGACGTTAGTCGTGTTTAGTCAAGTGTGACGAAAGCAGTGTTTATTCAAGTTGGCGGAGGCCGTGTAAGTTTATCAAGTTAATTGAAGTTGGCGGAGGCCGTGTAAGTGTAACGAGTTACGTACTGTTGTGGAGTTTTACTCAGTAGAAACTACGTTCATTCTTGGAATAAATCTTCTTGTTGCTGTTCCGACAACCCTGCGTTCAGTTTAGTTTGCAAGCTACCCGTCCTCTAAAAGATTACCCGCGTAACATTTCGTAAGTACATTCTGAATCTTGTTTAAGTATATAGAAGCATATTTAAGTCTATGTAATAGCTTTGGGAGAATTTCATCGATGTCGATCATAAAAATCGTTTCACATGTGAGCTTCATATGCGACAGCGAGTTGCTTCCTACAGATCTGACCTTTGTATGTTGCCCTTAGTTTCTTTGATAACATATGCCTGTAAAGCACGTCTTTGTCTGATTTCTTTTAGAATAAACACATAGTTGCTGCTTCACGGAAAAAAAAATTTCTGTATACTAATGCACATTTTAATGGCGAAGATGGCAGCCGTAAAAGATTGAATCTCGAATGAGGAAACGGAATCACGCAACGGAGTACGGAATCAAATAGCAATGACAGAAAAATATTATATAAAAATTCCTTGACACTGAAATGTACAAAACATTTCCACTCAAATTTCTGAGACTGTACATGTTTATCACAAGGATAAAGCTGTACAAAAATAATATTTAATGTTCATATTAATTTTTTGCATACAATGTGCATTTCCTTACTAGATTCAAACCGACATTCTGCAATTTGCAGCGACCAATGGGAATTGTTCAAAATTGAAATAAATGTAGTGCTTGTTACGAGACTTGTAGGGTTAAAAGGAACCTTTTCTCTTTGTGTACGTGCACAATAACAATTTTAATATGATGGTGCAGAAAGGTTCTAAAAGTCACAAGATTATAAAGGGATATCATTTCCTTACACTCCAATTTGTCATTAAGCTTTGAACACAAGAATAACAGCTTTATTTGAAGACAAAGCAACCTTCATTGACACAAGTAAGACGCCCATCTTTGAGTGGGAAGTCGCAATTCTATTTATCCATCTTTGAGTGGACAAAGCAGTGCTTGTGTCAATGATATTTCAAATGTTGCAACAGTCACCAGGAGATAAACAAGAAGATTTTTTAGGAATATAATTTCCTTAGACTTCAATTTGTCTTTAAGCTTCGAACACAAGGATAACAGCTTTATTCGATTACAAAGCAACCTTCATTGACACAAGTAAGACGCCCATCTTTGAGTGGGAAGTCGCAATTCTACTTATCCATCTTTGAGTGGACAAAGCAGTGCTTGTGTCAATGATATTTCAAATGTTGCAACAGTCACCAGAAGATAAACAAGAATAGTAGTCAAGAATATAATTTCCTTACACTTCAATTTGTCGTTAAGCTTCGAACACAAGGATAACATCTTTATTCGATGACAAGGCAACCTTCATTGACACAAGTAAGACGCCCATCTTTGAGTGGGAAGTCGCAATTCTATTTATCCATCTTTGAGTGGACAAAGCAGTGCTTGTGTCAATGATATTTCAAATGTTGCAACAGTCACCAGGAGATAAACAAGAAGATTTTTTAGGAATATAATTTCCTTAGACTTCAATTTGTCTTTAAGCTTCGAACACAAGGATAACAGCTTTATTCGATGACAAAGCAACCTTCATTGACACAAGTAAGACGCCCATCTTTGAGTGGGAAGTCGCAATTCTATTTATCCATCTTTGAGTGGAAAAAGTGGTGCTTGTGTCAATGATATTTCAAATGTTGCAACAGTCACCAGGAGATAAACAAGAATATTATTCAGCAATATAATTTCGGTCCTTACACTTCAATTTGTTGTTAAGCTTCGAACACAAGGATATATGTAACAGCTTTATTCGATGACAAAGCAACCTTCATTGGCTCAAGTAAGACGCCCATCTTTGAGTGGGAAGTCGCAATTCTATTTATCCCTCTTTGAGTGGACAAAGCAGTGCTTGTGTCAATGATATTTCAAATGTTGCAACAGTCACCAGGAGATAAACAAGAGTATTAGTCAGGAATATAATTTCTTTACACTTCAATTTGTTGTTAAGCTTCGAAAACAAGGATAAAAGCTTTATTCGATGACAAAGCAACCTTCATTGACTCAAGTAAGACGCCCATCTTTGAGTGGGAAGTTGCAATTATTCTATTTATCCTTCTTTGAGTGGACAAAACGGTGCTTGTGTTAATGATACTTTCAATTTTTACAAATGCCACAAGGAGATCAACTTGACGATTACACAGTGTTTTTATATTGTTACACTTTAATTTTGTTTTAAGCCTCAAGCACTTGGATAATGGCTTTATTCGATGATAAAAGCAACCTTCATTTTTTAAATATTTTTCGTTGTAATGCACTACCAGAAAACTGCCTCATTTTAAGCTCTCTATTTTTTTTAGAACCAGGCTGTTACAATACATGTAATACATGTATTATTATTTTGATATAAATATTTGACACTTTTTTTTTGGTCTTTATTTCTTTGAGGTATACTGATGCAGAGAACAAAAACATTGAGGGTATTTTGGTTAATGAAGTGAGGGGAAATTTTGGGTAAAAGAAATGGCCCAAAACAGAGAAAAAAGGTAAGTTGTACACTTTTCTAAGTTTCTTGAATCTGGTACAGTGAAACCCCGCCTTACAGCCACTTATTACACTTGTAACACTGGAACGCTGTTGTGTCCGGCTGTTACTCTGAGCAGTCTTTATTTCCTCCGCCTTAGGCTGTACTTGCGGCTTCTTGTTCGTAGAGCTAAACAGGTGCTTTCCATGCGCCTCCAAATATTGATCGGCGATCTTCGCTATCTGAACAAGCGTTTCCGGGGCTCTTTCTCGTAGGTGGATAGCTAACTCCTTCGGACAAGAGTCAATAAACTGCTCTTTCACAATTAAATCTTTCAGGCCTTCAAAAGAACGATCGGTTTTTGACAGCTGTAACCAACGCAACAAGTATCTATCCAGCCTCACTATAAACTGTTCAGGACTCTCGTCAACTTCCGGCTTTGATGCTCTAAATTTACGACGATAACCATCCTCCGTAAGGTCATATCTCTTCATCAAAGCTAACTTCACTCGGTCATAATCTTGGGCTGCTTCCTCAGATAATCGCGAATAAACTTCAAGCGCACGACCAGACAAAAGAGCACAACAAGCCCATCCTGTCTTCTCCCATTTAGCTGTCGCTGCAAATCTCTCAAATCTTTGTAGATAAGCATCCAAGTCGTCCTTGCCATCAACAAATGAGGGAAGCTTGGGTGCCTTCGCCCTATCCTCTCTCACTTCAGGACGTCCACCAGCACTTGCTGCAGCCAAACGTGCAATTTCCAACTCGCGTTCCCTCTTTGCCTCTTCAATAGCCTCTTTCTGTTTCAACAGCTCGGCTTCCATCTCTAATTTTCTCAGTTCGCGTTCTTGCCGCCTAGTTTCTCTTTCTTCGTCTTCTTTTCTTCTATCTTCCTCAAGCATTCGACGTTTCTCCTCTTTTTGTTCTTCCAACAGTCTACGCTTTTCTTCTTTTTCCTCTTCCAATTGTCTACGTTTTTCTTCTTTTTCTTCCTCCTCCCTCGTTCTTTCCTCTTCTAACTTTTGTTGCTCCCGCACAAACTCGAGCAGTTTTTCTCCCTCCAATCCGAATTCTTTGCCTATCTGCAAAAGCTTTTCCATTTCCATAGCAATAGTTCACAGCAAACACACTCGATATACTTCCTCGTAGCAGTTCTTCTTACTTCCACTGTAACTCCTTCTTCTTGAACTGTCCTTTCCTGGTTACTGTAGTCGGCAAACAATTGAATTCCTCTCCCGGACAGACCCCAAATGTTACGCGGGTAATCTTTTAGAGGACGGGTAGCTTGCAAACTAAACTGAACGCAGGGTTGTCGGAACAGCAACAAGAAGATTTATTCCAAGAATGAACGTAGTTTCTACTGAGTAAAACTCCACAACAGTACGTAACTCGTTACACTTACACGGCCTCCGCCAACTTCAATTAACTTGATAAACTTACACGGCCTCCGCCAACTTGAATAAACACTGCTTTCGTCACACTTGACTAAACACGACTAACGTCAAACTCTCTTCGCTTGTGAAAACTAGTTAAAACTTAACTCGAACTCGCCTACTTATATACTTTTACAATAAAGTTCTAGAACTTTCCAAATAGTCTAATTATAGAAAGATTACAAAATATACCGCTTTTAGAAACGCTTACATAAGAACCTAAAATAAACAAGCTATGAACTCTCGCCAACCTTCTAGAAAGTCACGCTAGTCACCCAATACAATTTTCGTAACACGAAACAACAAGGATAAAATAGGCGTTCTTTCTTCTCAATGGTTGCTAAAACACGCAGTGTGCATTCGAGTCGCCAAGAGTGAACACTGAACTCCTTCATCACTGCTTCAATGGGATTTGGCGTTTCATTTAAATAGTTTTTCGAAATATTATTCCTCCCTGCAGTCTATCTCCGCAATCTATCACACTCTCCTGGCTCATCTTCACAAGAAAACGGCCCTGCATGTACAAACCACCAAAATGAAAGGCGAACCGACAGCGAAGAATGTTCAAAAGGGCGCGCGATTCAAAATTCAACGTGAAAACGAGGCACGCATGCTCGTAAGACTCACGCCTCCAGAGCAAGGCAAAATGCGTGCAAGCGTGTTAATAAATCATTTATAATTTATTTTGCTGTTTCTAAATTGTTTCAAATTACGCTTCAATGTTTGGAGCGCCAGTAATTTTAATAACACATCTTTGAATTTCTTAAAAAAAGGAAGACAGAGAGAATCATCTATCACTTTTCCAGTATATACGACGTGTAGTTTAGCGCAGGCGATTATCTCTGTTCTTCCGGATATTTTAGGTCAACGTAATGATTCCTCATCTTGCCTGAAGCGTAATCAGTACAGTTAAAACAAATTTTATTATATGAGAACCCTGGGATTGATCATGAAAACCAGCAAATTTCAGTAACAAAACCGCTTGCGGAAACGCAATGGAAACGAACTGACACGTTTAAGTCAACGGAAGCGCTGCGGAAAGACGAAACAATACCTCCATTTTCATCTTACACGTTTCCCGTCGAAACCGTCGCGCGGAAACGCAACGGAATTTTGAACCATCAGGTTTCCGCAACATTTCCGAATTGCGGAAACACCTTATTTCACCCTGTGTGCACCTCGGTAATACAGTCACCTCCTTATTACAGCCACTTTTTTTTGGCCGCCTGGCAAAAACCACCATACATTTTCTTGTAAACAAACCCTCATTAATATCGTCACCCCATTAATACGGCAAAACTTTTTTGGCCGATTGATGACCATGTTAACGGGGTTCCACTGTAGTTTCTTGGTGTTGCCGACAAGTGCAATCCCCTAATGACATAAATACAAAAGATGGAAAAGCCACTTAATAATACCCACACCAAAAACAGGAGCAAACCAACAATACTTTTAGCAACACCAAGAAGCACTCTTAATTCCTTTTCTACAGATCTGTACATTTAACATGCTTTCCTTTTGCTAGGGGCCATTTTTCAGTACTGGAGTCAGAGAAGTACCTGCGCAGACGTGGTAAGGCGGTAAAATGGAAAACTTGAAGAACACAGAGTTCAGACAAGATTCCAATTTGAGAGCTAAAAAGGTAGGTAAAATACATGTACATTATTTTGTTAATGCTTGCAGTGCAAATATTTCTACTGTGTAGTTTAAGTGATCCACTTAGTGATTTATTTAGCCTGTTCTGTAACAAAGCTGTGCTTTGGCAGTGCCTGGTGGCCCCTGTTGCCTTACTGTTGCTCTTGGGCGACAAGGAAGTCTTAGTTTGCTCAAACACATTCATCCTAGGTACCTGGATCTTTCAGGTTAAGGGCACAAGGGTCTTTCATTTTTTAAGAACACAACACATGTTTTGCATGTTTGTCTTATGCATACATAATTTATGATTGTTATAGAATGCACGAGTGCCACACCCTACCCCCTTTGACATTTTTAATGCTAACAGAGTCCTTTCCATTTATATGCAAGGTTTGATTGTAGTGTAAATTGCTCAGATTAGAGAGCAAGAACCAAATCTAAAGATTCAAAATTGTTGGGGTGACTATTTTGCCAGACTAAACTGTTGCTGAAGAACAAAGTAAATGTTAATTAAATGTTTATCACAGTAGTCATGCCACTGTGACTAAATAAGTTTTTTTGGTGTTCAGAAATTGACGAATCGCACAGACGTGTTGGACAAGGCACAACTTTCTCCGGATGACAAAGCCAAAATAAAGGCTTTATTAGACCTACACAATGCTATCCAATTTATGTCTTGGGAGGAGAGTGAAGACAATGAATAGAGGGCCAAATGTGATGGCATAGTCGCTTCTACATTAGTATAAAATTCTACTTTTCCCCACAGCCAGGTCCAAGTTGTAGTCATGCACTTACAGCAGAGTGGCGACAAAAAGTGAGATACATGTGTAGAGATGTTGGCTTATACATTTGAAAATAAAGCCTGTGGCTAGTTTTGTTTGCATCAATATCGTCTTTGTAGCATCAGTCTGATACTCCCCGATAATGGCCTCTCATCAGTTTGTATAGGCTTTAACAATAATTTTTGGGGATGATCCACCAAGTGCTGGTACTTGCTAATAAGAATTAAGGCAGCAGTTTAGATTTCCTAATGGGATTTCATGCAGTCTTACATGTAACTAAGTAAGACTTTTATTACTTGTAATATTGTTCTTATTAAATTATGTAATAATTTTGCCGTGAACTACTTCTTGGAGTTATTTTGGAATGGAAATGCACGTTACTTATAATAATGTCAAACCTCTTTAATACGGACACCAAAGGGACAGAACCAAGTGTCCGCTGAGGTGTCTGTAGTATAGAGGTAGGGAATGCATGATTTTTGGCTTTTCTGGGACCAAACGAACTGTCCGTCGTATAGAAGTGTCCATAAGAAGAGGTTAGACTGTATAATTATTACGTGCATGAATCTAATCATTTCAAGGAAAAAATTTTGAATTTTGTCAATTCTAAAAGGATTATTTAATAGGCCATTTCCGAGTTCCCGCGGACCTCTGTTTCAAAACGAGGGTAGGTGCTGAGCCTTTGATATGGAAATCATTTTTCATTCTCATGTAAATAAAACTCATTTTCACAAGAAAGGTTGCCCACCTCGCCTCATTTTGAAAGTAAGGGTTTTTGGACCTCGGAAGTGGCCTATTGACATGGGGCCGGAAAAGTTACAGTTTTGGATATGGAAAATAGGAATACATTGTAAGGAGTCTCTTTTTATTGTGAAAATATGTAATATACATATGTAAATATTATATGAAAATGGAGAGAGAATTATTTTAATAAAAACGTAAATACCAAAAATGCACCTAAATATGACTCTGCTTGATTTGTGTGTATCAGCGAAAATGGGTCATTGTGGATGCATGAAACGGTCCTGGGTTGTCTCACAAATAAACGTCCACTTTTTTATACCGGATAGAATGAACATATGATTCGAAACTGGGTGGTTAAGTAAAGTTAAGACATTTAGGAAATCCAGTGAATAATCCACCGAAAGTGGAATCTGTGGAAACATGAAGGCTGCAGAAAGTAAACTGGTCAAAATGAGTTTCCGCATTCATTGTTCCGGAAACTCAACGGATAATTGAGTATCCTCTGAATTTACGAGCTGCGGATACATGACGGCAGTTAGCGTTTCTTCAAGAGTAAACCTGACGGAAACGCGAGTATAAGGGATGCGTTTAAGCGTATCCGCAGAAACTGAAACATGACGTATACACGTGTTTCCCGCAACGGTTAGTTACAATTCCGTCTGCGGATATTCAGGTTTCCGTGAGGTAACCGTTACAAAAACGGAAACGGAAACACCTTTTTTCAACCTGTGATATTCTACCCTTTCAAATGTTATATGCTGAAAAAGTATCCTCTATAATGTTTGACGTCTTCTGCTTGAATGCTCCGTCTAACATTTGTGATCTCTTTACTAAAGCTAATTCAAAGCACAAGCATGAGATCAGGTTTTCTTGGTCTGGAAATTATTATGCCCAAACTTCAAGACCGAATCAAAATCAAGGTTCTTTTCCCAGTTTTGGAGCTAAACTTTGGAACGCAATTCCCAACGAATTTCGTCAACTCTCCAAAAGTCGCAAAATCTGCAGCCACGACGTAAGGCACAAATAATTGATAGTTCTTTTAATTAGTAAATTTCTGCAAGACTATTTTTGCAACTCTTGTTTTGTTTGTTTTTTTTCGTAATTCTCATCTATCCGCATAATTTATTTAGTTTACTTTACTATAATCTTCATAGCTTCTTTTAATTTAACATTTATGACTGCTGTAACCTTTCCACTCTGCCCGCCTCTTCTAGCCCTTGCTATTTGCGG